TGCTGCGAGGCAACAGTGCTAACCACTGCACCACCATGCAGCCTTCTTTAATACTTGGACAGTTTATTGTTGTTTTTATTAATCTTGTTATGTTTGATTTTAACACTGAGCAATGACTAAATTAAGATTAAACAGTTGGTTAAATTCAGATTAGGTTCAGAAATCTTGTGCATCCACAGCTGTTATTAGTGATAATTAAGCATTCTGATAAGGTGCCATATCGGTATCGGCAATAGAAAAACCAATATCAGTCAACCTCTTGTTTGGAGAGTTCAATTCAATTCAATTCAATTCTTTATTTCACTCAAAGTTTAAATATACAAACTTCAAATCAGAATATAAGCATTCAAGTGAAATAGGGGGAGGAAGAAGAAAAAATCTTATATGACCTACCCCCTTTAACTAAGACAAGATAAATAACAAAAAGTACAAAATAGCCTTATACACAAAAAATAAACCGCTCTCTTACTTCCACAAATAATATCACTACTAAAACATTAATCCTCCATCCTCAACTTACCAAATCATACGATTTTAGCATTTTATCTTTATACTTTTTTTTGAATTGATCAGTAGTTGCACATTTTTTTAATTCATCATCCAGGTTATTCCATAATGTCACACCATATATTGAAATACACATTTGCTTTAATGTAGTACGAACAAATATCCTTTTAAACTCTGGTTTCTTTCTACTCTTATCATTTTTTGGGATTAAAACAAAGAACCTTTGTAGATTAGTTGGCAGCAAATTATTTCTAGCCTTAAACATAATTAGTAAAATTTTCAAGTTAACTAAGTCTTTGAATTTCATAATTTTAGATAGAACAAAATATTTGTTAGTATGTTCTCTTGGATTTGCTTTATGTAGAATTCGCAGAACTTTCTTCTGTAACAGAAACAAAGGATTAGTGTTTGTTTTATATGTATTGCCCCAAACCTCAATACAATAAGTTAAGTATGGTAAGATAAATGAGTAATATAATGTCTGAAGCGTTGTAATTTCTAGAAAACCTTTGACTTTGTTTAAAATTCCAATACTTTTGGATATTTTTTGTTTTATATATTTTATATGGGATTTCCAAGTAAGTTTATGGTCCAAGAGAACCCCTAAGAATCTGACTTCATTTACTCTATCAATTAAAAAACCATCAATAGACAATGTAACTAAATCATTAGTTTTTCTGTTACCAAAAACCATGAATTTTGTTTTATTCCAATTGAGAAATAATTTATTGTCATTAAACCACTTCTTAAGTTTAGACATTTCACAAACCATATTTTGAATAATAATTTCTAAATCATTTCCAGAACAAAATATATTCGTGTCATCAGCAAACAATATGAACTGTAATACTTTGGACACATCACAAATGTCATTGATATATAGAATGAAAAGCTTAGGGCCCAACACTGACCCCTGTGGGACACCGTGTGTAATCTCTAGTGAATCTGAAATTTCATCATCTAACTGTACAAATTGATTTCTATTGGTCAAATAACTACTTAACCAGTCATGGGCGATTCCACGTATCCCATAATCCCTCAGCTTGGAGAGTAAAATACTATGATCTATTGTGTCAAATGCCTTTTTTAAATCAATAAACAACCCCACTGTATATTGTTTTTTTTCTATTGCTGATGAAAGTTCTTCATTTAATTCCAATAAAGCCAGGGATGTAGATTTATGTGACCGAAACCCATACTGACTCTCACTCAGGAGGTTTTCCTTCTCAATAAAGTTATCTAGTTTCTGAACAAACCATTTCTCAAGCACTTTAGAAAACTGAGAAAGCACTGAGATTGGTCTATAATTATCAAACTTATGTCTATCACCATTTTTAAAAATTGGAATTACTTTTGCAGTTTTCATTTTTTCTGGAAATGTACCACTCTGAACAGACAAATTACAGATATAAGTGAATGGTTTGACAACATAATCAATAGTTTTCTTTACAATCATCATGTCAATCCCGTCACAGTCTGTGGATGTTTTATTTTTACTTTTCCTAACTATCGTCAAAACTTCATTTTCACTTACATCCCCTAAAAACATAGACTGTAAAATTTTGCTCCCTCTTTGTATTTTTCCAGCTTCATTAGTTTGTGTTTCCAGAGATTTGGCCAAACTTGGTCCTATGTTTACAAAAAATGAATTAAGTTCATTTACCACCTCAGCTTTATCCCTCAAGATCCTATCTCCGTTAGTAAAGAAATCTGGATAACGGGCATGCTGAGACCTGGATCTTATGACACTATTCAGAATTCTCCATGTTCTTTTCATGTCACCTATGCTTTCCTTCAGCCTTAAATTATAATGATCTTTTTTTGCTTGTCTTATTAATGATGTCAATTTATTTTTGTATATTTTGTACTTCATTTCTGTGGCTTTGGTTCGGTATCTGACAAAATCTCTGTATAATTTGTTTTTCCTTTTACAAGATTTTAGTAGTCCCTTAGTTAACCACGGTTCTACATTCATATTTATCTTTTTTTCTACAGACAACTACAGGGCAGTTCTTATTATATAAAGATTTATATGTTTTTAAGAACGTATCATATGCCACGTTCACATCCTTCACATAAACCCCACTCCAGTTCTCCTTCAACAAGTCATTACAAAATGCTGTTATAGCATCCTCTGTCCTTATTCTAACATGTTTTATCTGATCTAACTCCTTAGGTTTTTTGAATGCATTTTTATGTATTATAAAAATTGGTAGATGATCACTTATATCACTAATTAGGAGACCACTGTTAGCTGTCTTCTCAATTTCATTTGTATAAATATAAATACACACAGTCACAGATGAGCAAAACTAGGGATGCACCGATGGATCGGTATTTGATCCCAATCGGCCGATAGCGGCCCTATCGGTTTTGATCAGAGTTTTCAAAATAGATCAAAGCAGACCGATCAGGTAGGGTTGTCACGGTAACCGGTGTAGCGGTAAACCCCGGTAAAAAAAAGGTTGACAATAATAATAACCGTCTTGTTTTTTTAAAAAACATATATTATCTTGGTGGAGTACCGTGGCTGCGGTGTAGGCGCGGTGACCCTTACCAGCCACCGTATCATCTGCTGAAGTTGCCGGCAGCACATGCGCACTTTGTTGTTTACGACCAAAACTTTCTTGAAGCTAAAGCTGAAATAATGGTCAAAGGAGGAGACGGCAGTGCTCAGGACATTTATTATCCCTCAGACAAGACAAAGTGGGAAGTACGTGCATCTTTTGGATATTTGAAGAATGCCGAGGGACAGCTGATAGAAGACGGCTATCCTGTTTGCAGCACGTGCAGAAAAAGTGTCTGTGAAAGGCAGCAACGCTTCAAATCTCATGACACATCTGCGTGACCATCACCCACAACTCTACAGTCAATGCAAGGCAAGCTAACGTTAGCGTTTTAGCTAAAATGCGTGATCCGAGGATTTGGGTTGAGGGAGAAAGCAACGAGTCGCTATATAAAGCAGCCGCAGCGCCGCTACCTGCATATAAACCGTGTCGCAGACACCCCCATGTTGAAATGACGCTATGCATTACGGGGCTCCCAGGGGCAGATAAGAGTTGGTCTCTCTCCGAGAATAATTATGAATTTAACAACGATTACTGCCTGATGACATTTTCCCACATCTGCAAAGCTCACCGGAAGGACACAAACCGAGGACAATATTTTCCTGATAGTGTTTATTACTCAATTAAGGGTAAAAAAAGTATCTAATTAGAAGGCTATTTGAGTACTGAGTATCATCTGATCTAATATTTTTAAATGATGACATCAAACAGACATAAAATAAGAAGTATTGGTATTTTAAAGACTAAAGGGAAAAAAATGTAAACAAATAAACAACATAATTACAAAATAACACATTTTAGGCAAAATTTAGACACAAACTGAGGACAATATTTCCTGACATACAGGGTTTATTTAATTGTGTGAAAATGTAGCACGTTTAAAAAAATACCGCGATAATAACGAAAATCGTGGTAATTTTGGTCACAATAACCGTGAGGTTAAATTTTCACACCGTGACAACCCTAATACAGACCATTTTAGATTAGGTTACATTTCCTTTATTCCCAGATTATGTAGTTAGTAGCACTCATTATAATGTTGTAGAACATTTCTGGCCAATCCACGTGATCGGTATTGGTGATCAGCACTCTTTGATATCGGTATCGGCAACAAAAAACCTGATCGGTGCATCCCTAAGCAAAACAATATCTTTTTGTTTTCTCTGTGTTTTTGTGTAGTGTCAGATATTCAGTGTGTGTGTGCTTGTCTTTAAATGTTTAAGTGGACAAAGTTTGACTTTACCCTGTACTGTGTGGACATTTTGCTGGTCTACACAATGATAGCACCCTAAAACTTGGTTTTAGAGGCTAGTCTGAAGTTTAGATTAGGAAAAGAAACCTACTGGTTATGGTTAGGGTGTGGGTCAGGCATAGTGGAGTCACTAAAAGGAGTGGAAGTCAATGGAGGTTTGAAATTTGCAGCACATCCAGTTCATACCCAGCTACCACAAAGTTTTATGTAGATGAAAGAGTCTCACAGAGGCATGCAACCCCCCCCCCTACAGCATGAATACATCTTTCCCCTGGTAATATGTCCGTTGCACTGAGGCATATAGGAGCATGTATGTGTGCAGAAGTAAGCACTACATTAGACTTTGGGTGAGAACTGCTTTTTAAATGAAAACTGAAAACAACACAGTAACCACACTAAGAAAACACACGTGCACACCAGTCTATGCCATCTCTACGGAACACTCAACCCAAATGTGTTCGAAAGAATGACTGCATTGTGATGCAGGGGCCACACACAGCCATTACTGAAGTGTAGAGTAGTAGAGAACTCGTGCCATTTGGTGGAAAACAGTAAAAACAACATCCCTCCTGATGGCTGCAGGAACACAGGTGGAGTACCAACACTGCACACATACCTACGTCATCTACCATCACTACTGAACGCCTCTGGAGGTTCGGCTTAGGACCACTTACCCTTCTGGACGAAACCTCTCCGAACCGTCCGCGCTTGCTCATCTTGAGGCTGTTTCCCACGGAGCGCCTGACGGGCAGAGGAGACCGTTTGAGGGGCTCCCACTGGGCTAAGGCTCCGGCAGCGTGGTGCAGCAGCTAGCTAAACAAAACTCCTACATCACAAAAGCGCTTTCAGAGGTGGAAACGTTTACCTCGCTTTAGTCTGGCGACAACTTTCACGGTTTTAATCTGCACACACGCTTGAAGCACCTAACTTCTGTTCCTGTTGTCTTCTTCAAGGTTTTGCTGCTTGGATAAAACAACGTCATGGTGCGCCACCGCCCCCAGTGGTGTGGCTGAGGACTGCATACCAAAACACTGCGTGGATGTGGTCCTGGTGGGGAGTAATAAAAATACCTCCCCTTATGAAACTTTGATTTAAAATAAAAATAAAATAAATAAAGATAAAATGTAATCATTTTAATACGATTTTTTTCCTCAAAAGCTGCTTTATCGAATCGAAAACTGTTTCTGACACCGTGCACGTTTCCGCAATGATTGATGGTTGTTTGTTTGTCCCTCGGGCCACATGAAGGAACTTTATAAATAAATAAACCCCAACCTGACGGCACACAGCGCCTGACCAACCAGTGGTCAGATGTGGAAGAGAGACATGGGATCCAACAGAAGTATAGATGAGGAGCATGCACAAGAAAGAAAAAGGAGTGAGTTGTTGGAGTAAAAAAGAAAAACATCCCAACTGCTGTTCATGTGGGTGTGGACTGAAGATGGAATTGTACAGCAGCATCATCATCATTCATTCAATTCAGTTCAAGTTTATTTATAAAGTGCCAAATCAGGACCAGAGTCGTCTCAAGGACCTGCACACAGTAAACATCCCAATACAGGTCAGTTCATTAAGCCAATCAGTAACATGTTTCCTATATAAGGGACCCGGCATCGAGTCACTGACTAGTGTCAGAGTCTTTACCACCAATGTGAAACTCATACCACAGCTTGACAATAAAACCTGATCATATGACGACACGTCATTCTAAACAAATAACTGAAAACAAATCACTTAACTGTGCTGTTGAGAAAAGGTACAAGTATCGTCACACTACAGGCAAAAGTGCATCAAATTCGCTTTTTTCCCCACATGCGACCCAAATCTGATATACTGTAGAATTGAAACAGATCTGATGGTTTTAAATGCGATCCGTGTCACTTCAGTATGTGGTACTGATTCCGACACATATCTGGTGTTTCTGAAAGCGACTGCAGTCTGAACGGTCATGTTGCATTAAATCCATCTCCTACGTCACCGAGTCAGTGGAGGTGAGCATCGTGTGTGGATGGTTTGCAAACCAGTATAAATGAACAAAAAGAGTCTGTGGAATTTGTGCATTCTCAGCTAAAAAGACGGATGGCTGAAACCATCTGCAGAGTTAAAAAAGCTGCAAGAAATGGAAAACAAGAAACTCAAGTTATCTCGATCAGGGGCGGACATTAACTTCAAAACCAACCGGCCAGCCGGGCCAGTAACTCTGAAAATTTACCGTCCCTGCCAAGAATCTACCGGCCCCGCAGGTCAGCTGCCAAAACGAGTCAAAATAACAACTGAACCGTTTTAAATGTAATAAACCTTTATTTTGTACACATTCACAAACATAATAAGCTTTTCTGTATATATTTACAACCGGCACTGTGTCAGTCTCTGGCACCATTGTGATGCAGGCTGAATATTTGGCTAGTGGTTGTCTATTATGTTACTCCACCTCAAAGTTCTTGTCAAGCTCGTCCTCATATTTCTTGCTCATCATAGAGAGCAAGCGGCCCTGACCCAAGCGCATGAAATCTTCCTCTGGCTCTGCGTCGTCCATCTCAGCAGCAGTGGAAGTCTTTCCATCCATGAAATCAAGACGTCATGAAACCATATGTTTATGGCTGGTTTCGGGTCGAAGTTTTTAATGTCTGCCGACAGTAACAGCACCGACATGTCACCACGCCACTCTTTCCTCCAAGCATGACTGCAGCCCCGTCTGTTGACACAGTGACAAGTTTCTTCTTCCAGGTGCCTTCCTCCACACCAAGACCTTTGCACACCCCGGCTGTTATGGCAGACGTGATGTTTTCAGCATTTAGCAGTTTTGTGACTGCCTCGATACCCAGGAACTTGACACTGATTTGTCCTTTAACTACTTGTCGGCCATAGATGATCTCTTCTTCAATGAGCACTGTCAGCACAGCCATCTGACATCAGAGAAAGAAACTTTCCAGGTGCAAATTCTTCTTGCACACTCTCCTTCTCTGCCTGGGCCAGGGGGGCCGTAAAGGGGGGAAAGGTTAGGACGATTCTAAGGGCCCACGGCTGTCAGGGGGCCCAAAAAGTTTCAAACTTCAATAAAAAAAAAAAAAGGTTAAAAATAACGTACTTTACTTTGCAGTATTTTTTCTAATGTAAGGCAGTAAAAAACATTTTCATCCTAATGAAATGTATATTTATTCTGAGGTCTCTACTTTATTTTGACAAATTAATTTGATTGGGGTTTGTTTCCACCGTTAAAATGTAAATCCCTCTGTTATGGTTCAGATACCTCATGTTAAACCTGTTATGCATCAATTTGGACTGTTTACTGAATTTTCCTAGAATAAATTCAGTCTAGAATAAAGCACTAATATTGTCTGGCTGAATGTCGCAATATATTGCAATGCATCGTACCATCTCCCGGTATCGTGATACACATCGTATCGCCAGAATTTCACCAATACACATCCCTATAAATAAGTAAGAATGCATGTGCATAATTAAGCAAAACTGAAACACAAGTATAAAGTATATATTTTTTTTTTCTAAAATTTTTCTCCCTTCGCATTTGGGAGGGCGGAACCCCAGCACCCTCAATGGATGAGCCGCCAAGGGGGCCCAACGTGATATATTTTCATGGGGCCCAAAATCTCTGGCAGCCCCCCTGGCCTGGGTTATATACCCAATGAATGTTTTGGCCTGCTTTCTGGTTCGGTACATTTCGCCTATCTCCATGCCCTTCTGCTCATCTAAACTGAACAAAAAAGAAAAAGCAAATTACAGTTCATACATTGTCAATTTTGACAGACAGTCTTTGACTGTACTAATGCACATATCTCTCACAGTGGAAAGATGGCAGTAAAAAAAAAATCAAATAACAAAAACGGATAAGAAAAGGTGGGGAAAAATAAAAAATTGATTAATGAAGAAAAGGTGAAAATAATTTTAAAAAGGAATGTTTTTTAAGGAAATCTTTAATAAAAATCTTTAAAAAAAAAAGAAGAAGCAGAAGATGGCAGTTAAACAGAATTTTTTTTTAATCAAAGATGACCTACAGTGCATCTTTTCTGGTTCTTTTTTTCTCCATCAAACAGTGAAATGGACAAAAACACATCGTTAAACAGATCAAACCCAGTATTTTGATAATTTGTTAAGCAAATAATACTTACTCGCACAGGGCCGTTGCTAGCCATTTTGGTGCCCTAAGCACAAAGGGCTTCGTGGTGCCCCCCCCCCGCAGAAAAAAAAACACAGTATGTGCAAGCGCTTCGCCTTAGATTCTCTTTAATTCTCTTGTATGCACAAACTGCTTATTATTTCCAAAAAGTTTGATTGATATATACATAATATAACATACACAACACAGGAACTTCATATTGTTATTATTTAGAACCATGTAACAGGTCCACACACCACAAGCACCGGTTGTGGCACATGTGTTTCTCCAATGATAACCCTTCTCCTCCTTGAATGTACTTGTTCCTTGAGCCTGCATTCAAACACAAAAAGATAATTCGTCATATTCATTCTATAGTAAGAAAAAAGTTTTAAACCATGGTAAAAAATACTGAAATAGATTATTTATAGGTTTATATTGGCTTATAAATCACTGGCATGTGACATGACTAAATTCAAAACTATTTAACCTTTATTAAGAACTAGAGAGGCACAATAAACACATTTTATACACAACTAGAAAATTCTGAATATGAAGGGAGGAGGTTAGCATAATGGACTTTTTTCTTCAAATTATACCATCAGCAGCTGATGTTCCCCTTGGCCCGTAAATGTTTATGAAATAAATATCAACATAGAGCAAATACCTAATTTGAAAATAGGTTTGTCTGATTCTTCATATTAAATCTCAGTTACATAGCCTATAGGCCACATAGGATATTTAATAATGATATAAATCATGTCCATAGTTAACTCATGATTAATCACAAACAGCCGCTTATTTAAAAATAAAACTTCTTACTTGACCTTGACGGTGATTATATCCCTGTTTTTGTGGTATTTAAGTATTTGGGTGGACAAATATGATTCATTTGTTTATTTCTGTTACAAAACAGCACAGATGGGCCTATCTGACCTCACAGAGGAAACTTTATTTTACTTGAGAAAGATGTTTTAAGATGAACTTATTAAAACAAAAAAATCTTCAAACTCTTCAAGGTCTATTTTTAGATGAGCAACCTTTAACACTGTTCAGACTTATTTTTTGATCCAAGTCACATGAACAGGCTGAATAAAAGGATATTTTCCTTTGTTGCATTTAACTAGTTCTTCTTTAAAGAAGTGCTGATTCAGAAGAGAATATCTGCATTTGGGAAGATGATGACTTGCTACGTTTTTTCTCCAGCAGTAAAAAAGCTCTAAAGCTTCTCTGAGTTTCTCTCCCTCTCAGCCTCTCTCACTCAGCTACTAATGAACGCCCGGTAGACAGGGCCCGATTAACACTTTGTTGTACCCTGGGCAACAATATTAAAGGGCCCCATCATCACGACCCAAGAACACCATAATATGGTCACATACAGAATATTTTACTGTAATATGCAGTAAATATACTCAATACTTGAATACCTGATGTCACGTAACCCACTCAGGGTAACCTTTGACCCACCTTGTGTGGACTGACCAATGAAGAGAGGGTCTTAACTTAAGGCCCTCTCTTCATTGGTCAGTCTGCATGAGGCTGACTCTCAACTGACGTTCAGTCATAGGCAGCGAAGCGTCTCTATGCAGCGCAAAAGCCCGGGTGGACAGTTTGTTTAATATGGGGTGAACATATTTCCATTTCCAAACAAGAGGACAGGGGATCTGTGCCTATGACGTCACACGTGTGTGCTCTCTATAATTAATGCTTCTCTGGTTTCTGGTCAGGTCCCTGCTTACTTTAAGAACGCTGAAATCCACCCGCTTCTTAAAAAACCGAGTCTCGACCCCTCTCTCCATAGCAGCTTCAGACCCATCTCTAAACTTCCGTTCATCTCCAAGATCTTGGAAAA